CAAAGGTTAAATACAAAGATAATCTTAAAAGCAGCAAGAGAAAAGCAGTTAGTTACCTATAAGGGAGCACCCGTAAGACTGGCTGCTGATTTCTCAAAAGAAACTATGCAGGACAGAAGGGTTTGGCACACAATATTCAAAGTAATGAAAACCCTGGATCTACAACCAAGAAAAGCTATCATTTAGAGTCGAAGGACAGATAAAGAGCTTCCCAGACAAAAATAAGCTAAATGAATTGACCTACATCAAGCCGGTATTACAGGAAATGTCGGAGAGACTTCTTTAAGAAGAAAAACATATATCAAAAACATGAATAAAGAATGGCAATTACTACATATCTATCAACAAGTACCTCACATGGGGAAAGAATTAAGGGCTCCAACCAAAATATTGAGCGGCTGAATGGATAAGAAAATGAGACCTTGACATATGCTACCTACAAGAGACTCATTTCAGATTAAAAGACACACAGACTAAAAGGAAAAGGATGAAAAAAGATATTGCCTTGATGGACCTAGAGGGTATTGCGCTGAATGAAGTCAGAGAGAGACAAATACCACAGGATTTCACGTACATGCGGAATGTGAAGAACAAAAACAGCAACAACAACAATGGAAACAAACGCATAGATACAGAGAATATTTTGAGGGCTACTAGATGGGAGGGGGAGTTGGAGGGAGTGCGAAAAAGGGTAAAGGGATTAAGAAATACAAATGGATAGTTACAAAATAGACTTGGAAATTTAAAGTGTAGCATAAGGAAAATAATTAACAACGTTATAATAAATATGTAAGGAGAATAGGGTACTAGATTCAGTAGGGTGATCACTCTGTGAGTTATATAGATGTCTAATCACTATGCTGTACAACTGAAACTAATATATTATTGTATGCCAACTATAATTGAAAAAAAAACTCATTGAATTGTAGTGTAAATACGAGCAACTAATTGTCTATTTCAATAAAGTCAGGGGGAAAAAAATGTATCTGCAAGTCATTTGACCCAACCCTCATGAGAGGTGAAGCCTATGTCCCTCTCCCTTGTACCTGGGTGGGCCTTTGTGATTGTCTCAACTAAAGAACGTGATGGAAATAACGTTGCGTGACTCTGAGACTAGATTAAGGAAGGCAGTGCACAGTTTGCCTGGCACTCTCTCTTGGGACATATGACTTGGGAGCCCCAGGCTACCATAAAAGAAATCATAAGAGCTGTTGGAGGAAAGGAGGAATTTTTGTTTTCCTTCTACTCATCATAGGTTCATTGGTTGGGGCCCTGTAAATTAGACTGACAAAAGACAGATTCGCAAGAGAAAAACAGACAGAAGCTTATTAACATGTGCAACACATATAGAAACGGGAGAATTCAGTGATGAGTAACTCAAAGAAGTGGTTAGAGCTTGGGCTTATATGGCATCTTAGCAAAGAACAATCATTTTATAGAAAAGTGGCAAGACCAGGAAAAGGGACTTTGGCTTCTAGAGATGGCAAATTGTGAGGGAGAAAATAGGTGAGAAACAAATGATAGCTGAAGGTTAGTTTAGCAAAGTTTTTTCAGATTCCACTGGCGCCATCTTTGGACTGCTAGAGGTCTAGAGTTGTTTCTGGTGATTAACTTCTGTCCTTCCTTGCAGAGAGGGGAGGGGAAACATCTGTATGGATTTAAGTCCTGATTCTAGGCAAATAAGAGGAGGAAGGCAGAGAGCTTTTCTTGTATCTGCTTTTTCTCAGTCACTTTCAGTTCAAAATAATCCTTATGCCATAGCAGCATATTTTGGTGGTATATCTACTACCGTTCACTGTTATACTGGAGGATGAGAGAGAGGGAAAGATGGAAGGAGAGAGAGAGAGAGAGAGAGAGAGAGAAAGAGAGAGAGAGAGAGAGAGAGAGAGAGAGAGAGAGAGAGAGAGCGAGCGCACACCTAAGAAGCCCCAGCTGTTCGAGTCTTCCCAGCCCAAGTACCAAGCATGTACGTGGGTGAACTTAAGCTGATTCCAACCCAGCCCCCAACTGACAACTGTAATTGAATGAGAGACATAAAACAAGAACCATGTTAGCTGAACTCAGTCAACACATAGCACCTTGAAAGATAACAATAAAATGACTTATATTAAGCCTCTAAGTCTTGGAGTGATATGTTACACAGCAATAGATAACCAGAACACGTATAACAAACCCCGTCATATATGTATCCATCATCCAGCTTCAACAATTATCAACTCATGGCCAGTCTTGTTACATCTAAACCCCCACCCAATTGCTCCACTTCAAATTATTTTGAAGCAAATCTCATATATCCAATCGTGTTATTTCATCTGTAAATAT